GTATAACTTTGTGTAAGTCTTCTTGTGCATACCTGTTTCTGCAATTCCTGGAGCTGCTGCTTTTCAGCACTTGTATTCCACATCGGTTACAGATAAGAATTTCACCTCAGAAGACTTGATGCATCTGATTATCTGTAATTCTACCATAGTGCGTTTTTAAGCTTTATGCTATGACTGGACTTGATGCTATGACTGTAATATGTAAATTTGTAATATGACTGAAAAGGGCTCCTTGCAGCACTCTGGAAAGTGTGACAACAACCGAACACTCTCGTGCTTGGTTAGGATTGGATTACTTGGGAATGCTAATGGTTCACTGGTTCCAGATTGACTTTTGCTAATTTCTTTTTAACCATCCTGTATGTTCAGGCACCACTTTGTACAACCTTGTTTTTGGACAGTGGATCCTGAAGCAAGAAAAGAATCTTTGATGGTAGTGGACTATAAACCAAAGCTACACCATTACCTAGCAAGAGTTAACATCAGAAGTAAAAACCATCCAGTGTTTAAGGAATTCTGGAGTGCCACAGGTGATCACAGGCTGAAGTCTACTGGATCTTGTTCAATTGTTTTTACCAATAACCAGCCTTGATTGGCTGAGTGGTGAGTGTGGACTCCTTCTTTGGGTCAAACTCAAACCCAACAGTCCTCTCAGACCAGCATACTTGGTGTTAACTTCAAAACACAAACATTTTTGCTAACATCATCAAAACTTATTGGCCCCATATACTATTGTTTCATGATTTTTTAAAAAATAGTTATTATAAAGAATCTGGGGTGGGATCTTAATAATTTTTGTTACTCTCTATTTTGCTAGAGGACTTTGGGATATAATACTTTGTCATAGTGGGATTGATAGTGAGAATTTCTGAAATAGGGGAGGGTTTTTAGTATTTGGCGGCAAGTGTCACCTACTCTCTAATCTCAATCTGCCCACCCAAGATGTCTCCAGGGAGGAATTCTGGGAGCTTTGAAGGTGGCTATGAAGCTTACAAACATATTCTCTCCTTGCAATAGGGCAAGATTATCTTCAAACTTAAGTAGATAAGCTGCAGAACAGGTAGGAAAATAAAATCATTCATGACATAAATGGAGCAGGATAAAGATGGTACCATTTCTCTTAGCTGTATTACTAAAGGATTGGAAATTTTGCCATAGTTCTTATGAGGGAAAAGGGAGAGATGAAATATTAAAGATTGTGGAAAGCCAATGACTTCTTGTTAAAATTAATCCCTACCAATACTGGTTATTGGAAGTTATTTCGGACAGCTAGCAATTTACACCAGAGGGTCAACACCAAGTTTTGCAGCATGAAAACCACGGCAAAGAATCAAAATTTTAACATGCAATTGAAGATCTGTAAACAAGGTGTATAAAAGATTTTTAAAATCATATTTCAAAGAAACATCAATAGGAACCAGCAACTTTTACTGGGAATCCCATCAATATTTCCTTAAAATATTTTCCTTAAGGTCCAAGTTTCATCATGAGATAAACTGAACAACTGAGACAGTGCTTTATAAACTGATTTATCAAACAAGTCTTGTATCTGCCTGCATAATGACAGAGTGTGCCTAATAATGTTTTTTCCCTAATACTTATTTGTGGTGTGATACAACATTAACTGAAGATTTATTGTTACCATGGCTATAATTTGGATGTAGATGAAAAGTTAATATGATGTAGAGATGTGAAATTAAACTAGTTGACTGTAAGCAGCATTGCGTATATTCATCCTTCTATTCTCATTATTTCATCTCTTTGTTTATCATGTATTTGGCTTTCTCCTATTACTTACAAATTTGTCAAATAAGTCCCTGGGGATGTTGTGGTGAGAGAATTCTGGAAGACAGTATTTAGACAGTTTATACAATGAGACCAATGATACCAACATGGTCTCTGGTGCAAAACTGATGATGTTCTCACATAGTGTTAGGTGACAGGTTTGAGTAGGAACGAGGCGAATGTGGTAGCAATAAGGTATGAGAGGCCAAGGAAACGCAGCTTTTAGATTTTTATTAATTGATGCATGTAGGAGCAGAGATTGCATGAAACTTTTTATAACACTGAATTTATGGTGCATCAAGTGTAGCAAAAAAAAAAAAAAGGAATGTGACAATCATGATCTTTTCTTCAGATTGTTATTACTAGGGAGACAGCGAAACAAAGAAAGGAGACTTCTGAAATGCAAAGACAGAAAAAGGACTGAACAAATCAAATCACCATGAACAAATCTACTCTAGTTAAATCAGTTCTAACACTGGGGACCAAGTTCTATCTGTTCATGAGATTGGGAATGAGTACCTTTGTAAGTTCTCTTTCTCAAGTGGAGAAAAGAAATTAGGGGAAAAAAATTAACTGAAGAGGAAAAACCATGTGGCATGACCTGTGACATATTCTGTGGCTGAGTCATGGGAGAAAGTGGCACTGTTCTAGATCCCACTACTGATTCTTGTGACCTAACACGTCCTGTTCTTTATATTTCTTTCTCAAAGGCAAGAATTAATTGGTATAATTGTATGTTTACCCATAATCTTGTAAATACTAGGGAAAAACTGAAACAAAATTTTGGGAAAATGCAATCAAACCTGCTAAAGGACACAAAATAATTTAGGGCTCAAAAGACACATTTTTTATTTTGGAAATTCTTGTCATTTGTAGGTGGCACTGAAATGTCTAGCCTTTTACTACAGTAGTAAATAGCAAACTAGGCAAGACAAAAGTTTTTCTTCTATACTACAAAAATATATTTTACAATTATGCCTAGCCTATTCCCAATTCTTTCTCTCTTCTCATACTCTCTCTCTTTTTTTTTTTTGGTGAGGCAATTGGGGTTAAGTGACTTGCCCAAGGTCACACAGCTGGTATATGTCAAGTGTTTGGTCTGAGGTCGGATTTGAACTCAGGTTCTCCTGACTAGTCTACTATTTTAAAATCATGGTGTTCATGATGGATTTACTTGAAACCTTTTTTTTTTTTGGAAAAAAACAAACTACAGTTCAATTAAAATCCAAACATCAACTAAGATTCTCAATGAAAACACAATTTTCATCAGAAGTCTACTTGGAGTTAGTCAAAGGAGTTTGAAGCAGTATAAGCTAGTCATTCTCATCCTCTAGCTCTGAGGAATGAGCTCTCTATTTTCCCCTGGTTAGCAACTGTTTATTGAAAGGTACAAAAACAGTACAGCAGACTTGTAGCTAAACCAAATGAGCTTTATTCTTTCAACCAGGACAATCAGCCACAGGCAGATTAGCTTTGCTGTGCATTACATTTCTTATTACTGTAACTGCCCACACAGCTGATCTGAAACCTTTCACAAGGAAGGTACAACTTACCCACAGCACTTTAGAAAGGTACATGGCAGGGGGTTACCCACCAGGTGCACAATCCACAGAAGGACCAACCAGGAAATCGTGTAAAGTGTTTTTAGATGCTACTATCAGCAGTATTTAAAGGTCCAGATTATTTCCACTAATACTGGCTATTTTTAGGCTACACAGAAAATAATAGAGATGTTAACACCAGGAGCCAATGAGCAGCTCAAGTGCCAGATTTCAATGGAAGTAGCATGTTTTTGTTCTTCTGAGGGGATGCTGGTCAAATGGGTACATTCTATTTTCCTAAACTTTGTTTTTAAACTCTGCCCCTAAAGAGCTCTAAAAAGCTATAGAAAACAAGAGTAAGAGGCCAGGTCCAGCCTACCCCATGGAGACAGCAGTAGAGGAGGGTACCAACGAGCCAGGAGTTGGAGGAGGTTTCTGAGGCACCAATGGTGCTTTCTCTGGCTAATGCTGAAGACTCAGAAAATGGTGAATTGCAACACAAATGTTTTGTATTGGGGAAGTATTTTTTTTTTAAAGGTGCATATTTTTGTCATCATTAAGTCAATGAAACAAGTTTTCATTTGTGATTTAACAACTCTGTAAGCTTTGATTTGTGTTTTAACTGCTCTGGGATCACTATATTTTAGTACTTTTTGCTAATGGCTGTAAGATACTTTCAGTTTATAGGAATCTTAGTCTTTCAGTTAAATATGGTAGCACTCAACTCATTTCTATGAGAAAGGTCAGGAAAACGCCATATAGCCAATGATTTGAAAATATGGCCCCTGAGCATTTAACAGAATTTCTATTTGTTCACTGGGGTATTTAGTACAGGCATATGAATAAACCGACTATAGACAAATCAGTTGCCTAATAGGGGGAAACCATTTTTGTTTGTTCATGAGACAGGAACTAGATACAAACTAGTTGCCTAAGATTGTTCTACTTGTGTTGAACACAATCATTAGATAATTTCTTGTTCAATTGTTGCAGTTGTGACCGATTCCTCATGACTTCATTTGGGGTTTTCTGGGCAAAGATACTGGAATGGTTTGCAATTTCCTTTTCTGGTTCTTTTTTACAGGTGAGGAACTGAGGCAAACAGGGTTAAATGACTTGCCCAGGCTGACTAGTAAGAGTCTGAGGCTAGATTTGAACTCAGTTCTTCCTTTTTTTTTTTTGCTTTTTGGTGAGGCAATTGGGGTTAAGTGACTTGCCCAGGGTCACACAGCTAGTAAGTGTCATGTGTCTGAGGCCAGATTTGAACTCAGGTCCTCCTGACTTTAGGGCCGGTGCTCCATCCACTGCACCACCTAGCTGCCCCCTCAGTTCTTCCTTGACTCCAGAGCTGGCACTCTATCCACTGCCCTACCTAGCTGCCTTCATTAGATAATACCTACAGCTAAACAGAGCTTCTACCAAATGCTGAGAGGCCCTGTTTTCAGGTAGTTGGCCAGTGGATTTTTCTTGGCCTTGTAACAAAAGTGGGATAAGTACTACTCTGTTTAGTGCGATTAGGCTCATTCAACTTGATAGAGATCAACCTATTCTACAGCATTATCAAGCAGTACAAAGCACAGTGATCACAAGGCAAATAAAATGAAGTAAAGGCTTAGGGAGGTGAAAAATTCACAATATATTAGTAAGCAAAAACATGTCTCACTGACCACATGGTAACAACAAAAATATCCACCTTTTAATAAGAACTTCCAAAATTCAGAACATTTTTCTAGAGCCAAAAATAATAAACATGTAATTTATTAGCATACTTTGAACTTTATCAAAACAAAGTAAAAATTTTAAACTGATTATCATATTTTTAAGGTTTTTTTAAATTTGGGAGTTGTATACAAATGCTAGCTTATATCCACTAATAAAAAGATAAAGAGTTCATTAAATAAACTCTGAATAGACAATGTGAGTTTAAGAAAGGATTCAGTATTGTTGGTCCAGTTTGTGGCTTCTGCAGTTTTCCAGAGCAAATATAGCTCTGCTCTCCTCTCCTCTGATAGTCAGCCAACCACACAGAAGCCTGGCTATAATAATATCTTTTCTATAGTCCAAAGGAAAATGAATATTTAAGAAGCAGTACTATCCACTAACAGTTATGTATTAATCTTTAACTACAATTCAGTTTTTATTACAGCAGCAAAAACTGTATCAACATTAAATCACGTTGAAAAGTTTAAATAATAAGCAGCTTCTTGCAAGTTCTGAAATATGTGTGTATGTGTTTCCAACAAAATATTGTACATTTCACCCCCTTTTAGGAAAACAACCTAAAGTTTCTTTTCCCCAGATCCTTTTAAATAAAAGAAAATTTTCCAAAACACACTGAGCTGAAGATTAGTGTTGAAAAGACCAATTATTTTAAACACAGAATTTGTTCTCTTTAGTTAAGAAAGGTGAGTGAAAAGTAATGGACTCATTTATCCCAATGTTTGCATGGATAGTGATGGACATGCACTGAGCTGCAGGGATGCATTTGGTCTTTTACATTTCAAAAGCTGGGAATCTGGCTTTTGTTGGAATGAGCAGGTCAGCCAGGAAATAAATGGTTCCAGCCATTCCTGAAGAAACCAAAAGAGACAAGGAATTATCATATTAAGGTGACTACTTTAGCATGGCTCTAGTTTTCTGCACTAGCTATATTCTGAAATTAACAGCATAACCTTAGCAGAACTAAAAGCATCTTTCCCTAGTTACATATTCGCATTAGAAAGCACTACTGCCATTCTCAGCTTCTTGGTTTATATTTACAGTAGCGCAGGCTTCAGTTTATTTGCTCATTACTCGTGACATAAAGAAACCAAGAATTAGTACAATAATTTTTTTCCACTAAATGCAAAGGGGGGGAAGGGAGGGCTAAAAAATTAAAAGGACCAGAGAGATTACATTAGTTGGAGAGGAATGCCTTGGGGGTCCAAATGTATATTTCTATTATGAAGAAAACTAGGAATGTGAAAAGAATACCTTCAAAGAGGGAGAAAGGTGTGTCAGGAGTCCTACATCCATGCTCTCCATAATCCAGACACCATTCAGCAAACTGGGAAAAAAAAAAGGCCATGTCAAATTACTCAGAATATATATTTACTCAGATGACACAACTCTGATCAAGACCAATGTTCAGCACTCATCTGAAAATCTAAAGAGTTTAGAGGGAAGATCATGGTGATCTAATGAAATAGGAACTACAAGGAAAGCTGAGAAATCTGTGACCCAAAGAGAAATCTAGCTGGCAAAGCTAGACTTAGTTACATAGAATAAAAGCTTCTGGAAGTCAAGGGCTGTTTCACTTTTTGTCTTTGCAGCCCCAACCCTTAGGAAGGGCATGACTGACTGAAATTTTTATCTCAAGGCTTAAAAACAAATTGCCAAAGGAAGATAGGAACAAAACAAAAAAGTTACTCCATCTCCAGCTCTAACTAGATTGTTAAATATAATAATCTGTTTTATGAAAGGCAAATTAAATAAACTTTTAAAAGGCTATTTTTTAACTGTTTACTTTTGTAGATTAAAAATAAATAAATAAAAAAAACCAGAATTAGGCAATTTTTAAAATGCCCTGAAAAGATCTTTTTCCCCTCTCTGGATGTTCTGAGTACCTACCTTACAAGCTCTGTACAGATATTTCATGTCATGGGTGAGTTTGTATAATGTCAGAAAGGCATATGCATTGCCTGCAGCACCATGGCACAGCCCATATCCTTTTCTGAGTAACCCAAACTTCCAGATCACATCAGCGCATTTCGAGGCATCATTAAGATACTTTTCCTCATTGAATACCTGTAGACAGGAAAATTCAGTTTTACCGTAAATGATAATTTTAACTTCACTGACAACTGAAATATAGTAGATGACAGAAAAAAAGAGCCAAAAAGATCTAGATAATCTTGAATGATGGGTAAAATCAAAGATGAAATTTAAGAGATAAATGTAAAGTCCTGAACTTAGATTATTAAAGTCAACTGCAAAAATATCAGGTGGGGAGGATATGCCTAGTTATTAGTTATTAGATGAGACCTCAAAATTCTGGTGGATGGTATGCCCAGGAAGAGTCAGTAGTGTGATGCGATAGTCAATAATAGCTTACTTTAACATAAGCTGCATTAACAGAAATGTGGTGTCCAGAATGAGAGAAGAGATAGTTCTACTAGACCAGGGATGGGGAAATTGTGGCCTCAAGGCCACATGTGGCCCTCTAGGTCCTCAAGTGTGGCCCTTTGACAGAATCCAAACTTCACAGAACAAATTCCCTGAATAAGAGGATTTGGTCTATAAAACTTGAGACTCAGTTAAAAGGCTGCACCCAAGGCCACAGAAGGCCACATGTGGCCTCAAGGCCACAGGTTCCTCACCCCTGGACTAGACTGTCAAGATTTATTACATCTTAAACACTGCATGTGTCATGTTTTAGGTAGAAAACTGATAAACAGGGTTTCATTCAGATGGTAAGTAATCAGGGTGGTGAAATCCATTCTTTATGAGGAATAGCTGAAAGAATTGGGGATATTTAGCTTAGAAAAGAGACTGTGGATAGATGTGACTGTTCTCTTCAAATATGTGAAGGTCTGTCATGCAGAAAATGGACTGGACTTATTCTGGTTAGCCACAAGGAACAGAACTATGATCAGTGTGCAGATGCTACAAGAAGGCAGATTTTAGGCTCCATATGAGGAAGAACTATCTAACAATCAGAGTTGTCTAGAAACAGAAAAGACTTGTCTCAGGAGGGAGTAAGTTCCTGGACAAGGGAAATTACTATATTGAAGGTAGATAATTTCTTTGACCAGGATGTTGTGGTGGTGGTAGGGTACTCATATTCTAGGAAGGGGTTGAACTAGATGACTTCTGAGGTGCTTTTTAACTCAAAGATTTTGTGATTCCTACACTGGAACCTGGGGGTTAAGAGAAATAGAGGAGGAGGGAGGGTCATAGACAATGAGAGGTCCAATGACTAAAGATGTGTTACATGGATGGTGGTTCATTTTACTAGCACTCAGTGATTCTACTTACATTAAAAATGACTGTGACTTTGCACTTGTAAAAGATCTTTTAGAGTGATTGATGAAGTAGCGTTAACATTATCTAATTCATATCAAGCTGTCATCATTAGTCACCTTCCACAGAACACATGGCTGCTTTCTTCAGTAACAAAGATGCCCAATTACTGGGAAATAAGGATGAAGTACATCCAAGGAAACTTTTCTGTAGTGTTTATTTCTTATTTGGGAGAACACAATGCCATTTATGGTTCATACACAATAAGTGCTGAACATTATACTTTACAAAAAATGAAGAAAATACAGAGGGCTTATATAATTATTAGCTATACCAGGGTTGACTTGCCTATCCTTTCCTCCTCTCAAATTCTGGCCAAAGAATTAGAATTAGACCCCTTAAATGGGTATTCTTTTCATTCCAAACTAGATTTTATGAAAACCCCCATTAGGCATTTCCTTTTTGCTATGGCTCCTGCAATATATGTAATAATGTAATAATTCAAAGTTAAGAAGAATAGGGATAGATAGTATGGGGCAGAGAAAAGGGTAGCCGTTAGGCATAAATTTATGCATTCTAGACAATATTCCGAAATGCAGAATTTGGTATATTGCAAACTGGCATTGTCTATAGATAATTAGTGTCTATCATCTATAAAATGCTCATTATCATACAAACAAATGCTGACCAAGGTACAGTAGGCTAAGCATCCTTCATGGTAGTCTTTTCTCCCCTTTTGTGGGTAAGAAGGCTAGTGGAGTATGCCAGGAGACACTTTTAGAAGTCCCCCTTGGCAGTGATGTTGACTTGATTTAACCTGGATCTCTTCAATTTTACATTAACTGGTTTCCTGACTTATGTGATACATTTGGAAAAATTATTTTAGTTCCTGGGTAAAGACCAAAAAGAGGAATGTGCACATGGTTTCTGAAATTATTTTTGAGTTATTGAAATTATACTTTAGCTTAAAGTTGTTTTCAACTGCCTCTCCTAGGGTAAGAAAGAAGTTCGTACCTTGTAAGCCTGCGTGAGCATGTAGATAACCCCAGGGGCCCCATGGCACCAATGGACAAGGTTATCTTTAGAATCATTCACACATGGAGGGTAGTTGCCAGAAGGGAATTTCAGCTGGCAGACGTAGTCTACGCTGGGCTTGACCACATTGTGCAACTTCACTTGGCTTACCTGAAGGCTAGGCTATGAAACAAAATGATACTTTAAATCCAAAAAGGCATTAAAATACTTAAGGAATTTCCAAATTAAGAAGCAAAGGAAATTTACTATACACTTGAAAAATTCACTTTCTTAGACATTTAAGGAAACATTTACATTCAACAGTATAAATACGACAACCATTTTTAATCAACTTCATTGTAAAAGTAAAATGCTAGGCTTATTATTAATCTTACTTTTAAAAACAAGAAGAAGAAGAAATCCTTTTCTTCCTAGGTCTGAGGAACAAATTTTAAACAGAAGCAAAACACAAGAAAAGATATTTGGTATCATTAAGGCATTTTGGGTTTTATTTAATTATTTTGCTTTTCCATGTCTAGATCTTTTCCTGTACCTGAAGGTTATTTCCGAATTTTGAAGAATGGAACATTTCTAATTAGGCAATCAGTCTAGCTCTCAGGAACTGGTAAAGGATTGTTCTGTACTTTCTATTTCTTAACATTTACCTCTGTCTAAATAAACATAACTTTTGATTCTAGGCTCTCAGAATAATCCCTGAGAGGCTAGCTATTTCACGGACTTGTCCATGATAATGTGCTACCTAAGAGGGTGGATTTAACGAAGTACTCCAAAGAAGTCCACAAGCACAATACATTTTTTGTCACAAGAAAATAAGAGGTGAAATATCTGATGGAAAACACACAAGTATGAAAGTAATGCATAACTTAGGATCAAATCTTCTCTTTTGTACATACTTCATCTTAGATAATCTGTACAGCAAATGAAAGATGTCTACCTAAATGCAATTTATAGGATCCAATGACACAGGTGATATATGCTCTTTTCTTACTTCACAGCTCTCAATTCAATTTGGTTCACTGACTTCCCCACAAATAATAAATTCCAGTTCTGGTTTTTTTTTCTTTTGAAGAGGGAATAAAGGAAGGAAAATGAGGGATAAATAACACCTCATGATTACCAAAAGAATACTAAATTCTTTAGCAAAAACAGAACATCTCCTGCTTCCTATTCAATCTCAAGTTTGGATTGTCACTATTCTCTCCCCAATCTCATACACAGTATAGCCTCAAACTAACATGGTTCTGTTTTGCTTTGACAGGTGAGAACCTGGTAGAACGAATCTTTTAGATTAAGAATCAAAAAATTTCAAATACTTAACAATTTGCAAATGGAAAAATCAATGCTTGAACCACAGTTATTAAGTAAGTAAAAGGACTCAGGGTACCCGAAGATCTGGTTTTCAGTGTCACTGTGAGGTCAACTGATACATTCTGTTTTGTGTGACACATAAGCCCAAGCCTCATTTAGAAAGTTTTAAAACCTTCTTTCTCGAAGAAGGTTTATGGGCCTTTATCTGTCTCCGCAAATAGAGGCCACAAGAACAAATGCCAGAAAAAACAAAATGATTCTTTAAATCCAAATGGGCATTAATAATACTTGAGGAATTTCCAAATTAAGAGGCAGAGGAAATTTACTATACACTTGAAAAATTCACTTGCTTAGATATTTAAGGAAGCATTTGCATTCAACAGCATAAACAACCTTCTAATGATCCGCTTCACTGAAGGACTGTGCTGGACTTGATTTTATTACATTCCATTCTGCTACTTAACCTGCTGAAATTCCTTTGCATTACTAATTGAAACAATCTACTCCACTATGACATACAGAGCTTATGGATGGGTATTATCTTTGCTAAAACTTTTATCTTTAACCATAAAACCCTCAGCTGTACAAGAACACCAATCAGTTCCAAACTCTAATTAAAGAAAGCTATGTAACTCACAGAGAACTCAGTCAATAGAATAGCATTTATTAAGAACCTTCTATGTGCCAGGAACTGGGCTAAGCTTCAGGAATATGAAGAAAGGCAAAAAACAGCCACTGGTCTTAAGGAAAGAACAGTGTAATGGGAGAATCCTTTTACAAAATCCTCCTCTTCACATTCCACGTGAATTCTATTGGTGCCAAGTTTATCTTACTTAGGTAGATACCCCCAAATGGCATTAGGCTCTGAGACTTATTACACACATAAAATTTAGCTATTTTTTTCATATGAGTACACAAAATCCATTGAAAGCCCCTTAAGGTTCGTTATCTGAAACTATGCTCAAGTAACATGTGCTCATTTGTTTTATATTGATTTTCTTCTTCCTGCAGGGTTTGTTTCAAGAGCTTGTCCCTTATAATGAGAAACGATTTTCTCTGTTCAAGACATTCACCAAAACAAGTGAATGCCATAGCAGAAGCATTTAATACAGAAGTCCAAACCAGAATAGTTTCAGTTTCCATAGTCCTGAGAAAGCTTTATACATTGATATAAGTAAAAACAATGACATTTACTTCTTTTGGTGAATGTCTTAAAAGAAATAATTTCTCATTATAAGGCACAAACCTTTAAAATTATGGAACTGCCCCACTGCCTCCAATTATATTTCTCCCAATGTCAAGCTTTCATGGAACCAATGAACTTATGTTGCTAATTAAGGTCTTCAAAACCGGGAACACAATTTTAGAATTCTTAATTTAATCATTCCTACCTGCATCAAGTAGTAGTAAATACCTGCCAGTCCATGGGCAGCCCCCACATAATATTCTTGATACCATTCATACATCAGTGGTGTCTTTGAAATGAAGTTTCTCTTTCTGGCAAGAGTCTCACCTGATGATATTACCATATCACAAACCTGTGTGAAGGGGGGAACCAAAGACGAATAACTCAAATGTTAGAAAAAAAATATCCTGGCATGGGATAAGGAGCTTACCTTATTAAGAAGTATGGGGGAACTAGGGATATAGACACTAGTCTATGTATATTACATAGTATGTATATTACGTTACATAATTTTGTGCATGAAAGCATTCATAGCTCTTTTCTGAAAACAAAAGTAAAGGTTCCCGAATGCTTTCAAGTAACAAATTATTTGTTACAAGAAAATAATATTTATATAAAGAAAATCTTCACTTGGAAGGAGCCATCTGACTCTAATTCTCCACTGAAAGGGGATAAAAATTCTTCAATGGAAGTGACAGTTTGTCACTTGGCATCTCTATATAAGAGAGTCTCTAATAGCTCTCAATGTCATGCTGTGTTTCTTGAATGTGTCTGAATTTCAGAGACCACACATAATTCCACTATCTCAGAAAACCCTGAGGTGCTGAGCAGGAACAAAGTCATATTTTGGAAGAACAGTGAGCAAGAGGATCTCATCAAAAGCATTAATAAAAACTTTAAAAAAGCCAATATACAGAGAATGGTAGAGGACAGGGTACCTGCTGAATATGATGCTGAGGTATCTTTTCTTCTCCAAAGTACTTATTCACAAAAAGCAAAGCATAGATGTAGCCCATTCGTCCATAGAGCATTTCATCAGGAACTCGGGGGTCAAGATTATTTAGGTGGAGAAGACTGAAAACAAAAGGATACATGAAAGGGAAATGGGTGGAATGTAAAAGTAGAAACGTAAATAGAACTCTTTCTGCAACTAGTCCTTCCTGGGCTTTCAAGGAAGAGAGACATAGCTACATATACCTTATGCTAACCACAATGCTTATGAATTAAATACAAACCACCAGTAGAATACTGACTTATGCAAAAAGTATACAAGGAGATGCTTTACCACCAGTCCTGTGGTTCCGATCTTCACCAGGCTCTGGGAAATGAAGCCACATATTACTGTTCCCAAGAAATTAGCTCTATGGGCCAAGAAAGAGGCAGCATGGCATAGTGGACAGAGAGCTGGCCTTAACAAGGCCTAGGTTCAAGTCCTCCCTCTGACACATACTAGGATAGTTACCTAAAAGAGGTAACTCTCTTAAGGCTGTACAATGCAGAGAAGGTGCTGATCTGTATTGGTAGAGGGATTTTCCTCACACACAGTTTCCTTATATCAATGAAATAACAGATCCATTTCCTATCCCTCTTACGGTTTTTGTCCTGTGTTCTCAAAGAGGACCAAAATGACATCACTATGCTGGGGTCAAGGTACATTGTGTTCGACTGTGGAAGGCTCTACCACAGGTCAGGCACAAATAGTCTACATGAAAATTTGGAATGAAGATGTCTTCTAATTTTGTACATCTCACGTTTCCTTTGAGCTACTGCAATTCTGCTTTGCTCACAGAGCACAGTGCCTTCTTTGATGTGGGTACGCCATGTTGGGTGGTCCTGGGCCAGTATTGCCGATATCTCAAATCAATTCCAAAGTTCTACAGAGAGACTTTGAGTGTCCTTATATTGCTTCTTATCACCTCTCTGTGCTTACATGCTTGTGCAAGTTCTCCTTAAAATAGTCTTTTGGGCAAATGTATATTTGCTGTTCAAATAACATGGCCAGCCCATTGGAGCTGAGTTGTCCACAACAGAGTCTGAATGTTTGGCAGTTCAGCTCAAGAGGACCTCAGTGGCCAGTACTTATCTTGCCAGATGACCTTCAGAATCTTCCTAAGACAATTCAAATGAAAGTGATTCAGTTTCCTGGCATGGTGCTGGTATACTGTCCAGATTTCACAGGCATACCACAATAAGATCAGCACAACAGCTCTGTAGCCCTTCAGTTTGGTAGGCAATTTAATACCTTCCCTCTCCCACAGTTTCCTTCACAGTTTTTCAAACACTAAGCTAGCTATGGAAATGCATGCATCAACTTCACTATCTATGTGTACATACAAACACAACATCTATTATCTAGGAGTACATCCCCAGAAAGTATGCTGCCTCAAGGTAAGTGAACTTAACCATAGTATTCAAAATTTCTCCATTTACTGAAACCAATGGTTCTACCTATGGATGGTGCAGTGCTGGCTGGTGGAGAACCTGTGTTTTCTTGGTGTTAATTGTTAGGCCCAAATTAGCACAAGCAGCAGAGAATTGATCCATATTTGGTTGCATCTCATTATCAGAGGCAGCATTGAGTGTATAATTATCTGCAAACAAAAAGTCACATATCAACTCTCCCTCCACTTTAGTCTTGGCTTGTAGCGTTTTCAAGTTAAATAATTTACTATTCACGTAGTAGCTGACATTGATGCCATTTTTGTCCTCATTGAAGGCTTCTGAAAACATTGCTGAAAACATCATGCTAAAAAACATGTAAGTACACAGCACTTTCACTTCATTGGTGACTGGGAAAGCACAAGAGCGTAATCCATTATTCAGAACCCATGCAAGCATTTTGTCATGAAAGTGATGTACAATACTAATTTCTTCAGGCAACCAAATTTTGCCATGATTTTCCACAAGGCCTCATGACTGACAGTGTCAAAAGCCTTGGTCAGGTTGTGTACAGACGTCTGTTCTGCTCCTGGAATTTCTCCTGGAATTGTCAGGCAGCAAACACTGTATCAACTGTTTCTTGGACCTTTCTGAAGTCATATTGGCTCTCAGGTAGATGACCATCTTTCAGGTGAAGAATCTACCCATTAAGGAGGACTCTGGTATGAATCTTACCAGCAATGATTAAAAGAGAGACCCTAATGTGATTGTCATAGGGGCAACCTAGTTTCTTGACCTTTGTAGAGATGGACAATGGAAGCATCCGTGAACTCCTGGGGGATAACCTCCTATTGAATATGGAAGATTTCAGTCAGCTTTTGTATGAGCAGGGGACCCCTTGCCTTGCAAATCTCAGTTGGAATAGAATCAGCACCAGGTAATTTGCCACATAAGATGAGCCTAATAGCATTCAAAAAACCTCTTTTTCAGTTGGAAGTTTGGATAGAGAAGTATTAATTTCAACCTGAGCTATATGGTCAATGCCTTCAGTATTGATTGATGACAGTCTGTTGAGAACACTATGGAAGTATTGAGCCCACCTCCAGGATCACATCGTTATTACTAATCAATGTGGCTCTATTAGCACTGAGTAGTTAAGATGCACCACAGGTACTTGGCCCATAAGGCATCATAAAAACTCTTTGGATTGTTACTATCAGAGTAATACTAAATTTCATTTGCCTTCTTACTGAGCCAAGAATTCTGTATGTCCTTAAGTTTTGCTTGCACTTTACTTCTGATGGAGTGAAATGCCACTTTCTTAGAGATGGATGAGCTATCCTGCTGGTAATTCCTGTAGAATTCTCGTTTTTCACTTAGCAGCTTCTGAATTTCCCCATTATTTTTGTCAAACCATTCTGATGTCTGCAAGTGTTCTGGCGCAGATGGGTAAACGTGATACTGTACACCAAATCTCTGAAAGCCCCTCACTCCTTTTCTGTTCCATTTCTGCCAACCATGTACTGGCTTAGTTTTCCCTCCAACTTCGTAACAAACTGTTCAAGCTCAGAGAAGCGCTCTAATCTGTCAACATTAAGTCTTCTGGTCATTGTCTTGCCTTGGGGCCACCTTTTTTGTTGAATGCGAACGTTCAACTTGGAGAGGATATGTCTATGATTAGTCCAGCACCCTGTGTGACACACATTGTCTTTGTCACTCTCACATTCTGTCTCCTTAGAATGACATACATAGTCCTATTACATGTTAATGTTTGCTATGAGGGTGCATCTATAAAGTTTTATTGTTGTTAAGGTAAATGGAAGACAGTGCTGGTGATGAGAAGGTCATGAGATGCATAAGTCTTTAGTAGTACATGTCTGTTGTTGTTTCTGACTCCCTTCCTCCTAAGGACTCTCTGCTATGTCTGATAGTCTGTACCTACTCTGGCATTACAAGTCACCCAGAGTTAGAAACTTGTCCTCTTTCAGCACATTGATGATGAGGGTCACCTGGTCTTCATAAAATTTTTCTTTGACTTCATCAGGGTTTGTCATGGTGGGATCATATGCACTGATGATGGTGGTGTAGTACTTTCCTGCAAATAGCAATTGCATAGTCATAAGCCTGTTATTTACTTCTTTTGAGAGGCATCCAAGATGGTCTGTCATTGTTATGTACGGCATATGTAGTTTTAAGCCAAGGCAGATAAAGACAGGTGAAATATTACCAATGAACAAATTCAGGAAGAACATACCCCAGGTGCCTTTGAACACACCAATCACGAATAGGTTGGAAAAAGAAAAACACAGGGGTTGCAAGAATTCTTTGGTGTCAGGGACTGCATGTATAGAGCCTTCCATCATTCTAGCTGCTTCTATCTATAGGTCTGTTTCTCCTCCTTCTGGGAGAAGAGGCCTGGTTTAATTGGCCTACATGACTCTGAAAACACCACTGAATTTTTAAAAAAAATCTGTCCTTGGTATACATTCTAAAGATGAGGATGCCTTAAAATGAATTACTTTTGATATTTCAGTAATTAAATTCCCTCTTGGATGCAGTTAATTACTATATAAGTTGGATTTTTCTTACACTGAATTATACAACTGTGTTTTATCAAGATTCCAGGGTACTTTCCTATTTCATTTATCATTTAAATAACATGTGTATGAAAACTACTTTGATGTCATTATAAAACTCTAATAAAAATATACACTTTTATTTTGTAAGCAATTTCATATTCTCAACCTTTATAAAAGGCAGACTACTGCTGTCCTTAGCTAATTAAGAAAATGGCCTTAGGTAAGGGCTACATTTCCTCATCTGTAAAATGAGGGGTTTGGACTATATGACTTCTCAAGTTCCTTCTAGCTCTAAATCTATGATCCTAGGTGCAAAAATCTCTTTATGCTTCAATTTCTAAGTATAAGCAGAGTCCATATTGGAGCTTCAAAAACCAAAAAAATTTATGCTGTTAGATTCAAAAGGCCTTGATACTTCTCAAATACTGTTTTCTGAATTGAGAAAACTGAGTTCCAAACACATTGCTTTAGAAACACTGCTTGCCCTGTGGGATGGTAAAACTTCTTAGAGAAAAGCATAGAGGAAATGGTTCACACCAAATTAAAAGAAAAGGACCAAGGCTGAATAGTTCTAAAGAAGCATCCAGTTAAATCCTGTTATAACTGACTAACATCCCGAACAAGTCATGTTCTAATACTAACAGCTAATACACAGCACTTTAAAGTTTACAAAGTGCTTTATGTGTATCATCTAATTTGATTCTCATAACCACTTTTTGAGGTAGGAGTTATCATACCTATGCCCTTTTAGAGATGAAGAAATTGTGGCTGAGACGTTAAATAACTTGCCCAGGGTCATACAGATAGTCAATGTCTGGACAGAATTCAAACCCAGGCATTCCTGTCTCTAAGACTACTACTCTATCCACTGTACTACCTGCTAAAACAGAATAAATTTATTTAAATAACCTAAACTTTTTCAAATTTAAGGGCTGGCCTATCTTGATGTTTGAAAACTTGAAGCAGTCTGATATATTTGACAATTGCATCATGTTGTTGCTGTTCAGTCATTTTTCAGGTATGCCCAATTCTTCTGATCCCATTTGGGGTTTTCTTGGCAAAGATACTGGAGTATTTTGCCATTTCCTTCTCCAGCTCATTTGACAGATGAGGAAATGGAGACAAACAAGGTTAAGGAACTTGTCCAGAGTCACATAACTAGCAAGTGTGTGAGGCCCGATTTGAACTCAGAGAGATAAGTCTTCCTGACTCCAGGCCCAGTGCTCTATCCATTTCATCTATGAGGCAAGACTTAAATAAAAATGAAATAGAGCATCCCATTATTACATTGGTAAAGCGACCAACAACTCTTCATTCACATTTTTAGTCTAAACTTTGAGGGGGAAAAAAACCACCATCCTTCTGCCTGTCGCTGTCACGACAAGGCAGATATCTTTCTTTCCACAGATTTAAACCAAGTATGCAATTTTAAAAATCCTATTTCCTCTAGTCTTGCTTTCTTCTCCAGCAGAGTTGACAGTTCACTACTTTCTGAAGAACAGGGACATCATATGGTTCTTTGAGGTTACTCCTCTTGCTGTTTCTAACTTACAAAAGGCAACTCTGACTCTACAAATCACAATATTGCAGAAATATTTCTTCAGGACTCTAGAAGCATAAGAGAGAATTAAAATAGGCAACATCAGCATGAGGTACTGGAAAAAAAAACATGGTACTGTACTAGGCTTAGGAGTCTTGTAATTCTGCCACTAATTAGCAGTTAATTCTGGAAAATAACTTATTCTCTCTAAATCCTTAGTTTTCTTACCTATAAATTAAAGGATTAATTTTGGTGATTTGTATTTGTCCCTTCTTAGTCAAAGATTCTTATTTTGTATTTATTTGTATTTTGTATTTCACGGATTCCTCTTGTTTGTACTCAGAGATCGTTCTTGTTTGTACTCAGAGATGCATTTCTGTGATGCCAGTTCTCATGATGGCATCATTGTTGGCTAAGAGCGAAATCAGAAGAGCTACAAAGACAGACACATCAAAAAGATATGCACAGGCAGAATTCTAGCACTAAGGTCACTTAAGATGAGTATTATAAAGTCTTAAATATATTTTTATTGTAAGTATGAAAGTAGAGATGTAATAATAACAAGTATTTGAGAGTAGGCTTGAAAAAAATTATTGGACATGTTTAAAAAATAGGATTGATTACACTCTTATAAACAACTTTGGTGTAATACCTTTTGAAACAATCTGGAAGGAGGCCAAGGTCATACAAGGCCTGATGGTACAGTTGTATACAGAAGACAATAAATAGGCTACTCAAGGAAATCAGTCACCTGAAATATCTTATATGAACTCTAAGGGAGTCATAACTAACAGTGGGGCTTATTTTTCTGGCTGCAGAAAAAAATGGTACCAAACTTAGTTGCCAAGCCAAATGTCTACATTTTGCATGTACACAATCCTTGTTACTAGGCACTGACCCCTAAGGTCTTTTTTATTTCTTTGCTTCAGAACTTCACATGAATTTTTTGGTGCTAATTTTACCCCAATAGCAGTTAAATAAATCAAATGGACTCAGTCCAAATACTTCATAAAATTCCATTTTTTCTACTAACTCCACAGATGCAAGCTCCTTATAAAAATGGATTTTTTTTCATAAAATGTTATGATCACTTATAAATAAACAAAACAAAATCTAGCAGTTTTGTTGTGAGACGTGTTTTAGGATATCAACAATCTTATAAGCAAAAATTGGCATCTTTTAGCTTTACAGGAATTCTTCAAGAATGTGAAACTTTCCCTCTGTGAATAGTTCTAGGTTTTCTTGTGTCTGTTAATTCAGTAATACTGCATACTTTTAAAAATAGTATTTTATTTCCCCCCTAATTACATGTAAAAACAATTTTTAACATTCATTTTTTTTAAGGGTTTGAGTTCCAAATTCTATCCTTTTTCTAACCCCTCTCTGAAATGGTAAGCAATCTGATCTAGGTTATACATGTGCAATCAGGTAAAACATTTCCAAGTAATACTGAATACTTCTAAGGAAAATCTACTTGTCAGTTACAAGCTAATGGAAATCCATGTTCCATGATAAAGATATGACTTTTAAAATATAAAATGTGGTGCCGTGGAAAGAGAACTGGATTTGCAGTAGAGAACTTAAGTTCCATTGCTAGGTTCCTGTGACCTTGGAAAATTCACGTGCCTCTATGAGCTCAATTTTCCTCATCTAAAATTGCAGTGGGTGGTGGGGAGATGGAGTAGGTAATCTCTACTAAGGTTTCTTCCAGCTTTATCACTATGATTCTATGATACTGCATGAATTACAACTGAAATAACAGGTGGTTGCAAAGCTTCAATGAGATCCAAAGTGTATTAGTAGACCTTCTATATGATGAAAATACCAAATTAAAAAAAAAAACAACCAAAAAACAAAAACTAAATGCTCTGCAGAGGAATGATTTTGATAATTCAGCTTACTTCCTATTTTACCAACATAAATTATCAAATTGTCAAGAAAGAATTCAATGAAGCCTTGTGGTAACTTTTCAATTGCTGTTCTTTTCCTTCAGAAATTTTTTTACAAAGCCTGTTATTTTCCAGGGCTGTGAGCCTAATAACTGCCAATAGGTGGCAGTGCAGAATTAGAATTCTGACTAGCATGAAGCCAAACTTACCTGCCTTAGGAAAGTTCAACAAAGAAGTGAATCCTCTCTAAACACTTTAAGGATAACATCCCATTAAAATTATTCTGCACAGTTTTGGAGAAAACAGCTATTTCATACTTGTTGGGTTTGAATTCAAGTCATGAACGTCATCAATTGGGTTCAATGATCATTAAAGGCAACATTTTTCTTTTAACTGCATGGTTTATATTTTGCACAATAGTGATAAACTGAAGAGATAATGGAATTTATAAAGCATAATGGATATTTTAAGTGTTTTGGAAACCTTAGAATCCAGGAGCAGATATTTGCTTCTCCATTTATTTGTTTTGAAATGCTGGTGGTATTGATTGTAACACAACATTTTTTATTACAGGGAATAAAGCAATGAAATAGCATCGAAGGAAAAATAAAAACATAAAAAGAAACAATTTTGTTTGCCATCTCTCCGACATTTTTCAGAGTGTCAAGTTGTTTGGTGGAAATTTTGTATTGTACAAGGAAATCATCTTGTCAAGTTTTTCCAAGAAGGCTTTTCTAGACATGTCATATGATAAAAAGGAGATACCCTATTATCCTTTTTGTACAAAATCAGAAAGTAAAAGTTCTAGATCATCCTCAAAACTGCCTGTAATAAATTATTTAAGAGTAAATCACTTCCCTGATTACAAAATGGTGACAGTGACATTCATTTGGGGTCATATTTTGAGATCTCTGGGTAGAAGGAGTTAGAATAGTAAAAAATGGGTATAGTATAATCTAGGAATGTCTGGTGCTGCTTATTACAACTTTTCATTTAAAGTAATATAAGGCTCCAACATACCCATATTCTTGTAGCATGCCATGATGTTAACATACTAGAATTCTTCACTCCCAAAAGGCCATTTCTTTAAAACACCTCAGAGGATTTGGTTAGCGTGTAATGCTGGGAGTAGAACCCATTTCACTACACATCATAGCTTGGGGTTTAAATCAATTTTATCAAAAGATCGTTGTGTGACATACTAAATGGGAAGCAAGAGAAAGCAAAGGGAGGCAACACAGAAAAGGGAAGACCAGAGGAAAAATCAGCGTGGTGCATAAGTAGGAAAAAGTCAAGTTTTCTCTAGTTGTGATAAAAACATTAAGACAGGGGGGTACAGAGTTCTGATGCTACTAGATTCGTGATGAAGTGATTCATGGCTTTGTTAATGAGAAGGAATTATACAGAATCTGTAATTTATTTTTTTTCAAATTCTTATAAACTCCCTTGCTCTGTTACAAAGCTTTACAAATGGAGAAAAAAAAGCTATTACCATAATGAATGAATTTTCCTATCATATATTCACATTTTGTACCCTTTATCTGAAGAAAAATGCTAAAAAAAGGGGGGGAGGAGGGATAGGTTAAAATTTTGATGAAAAGTGTTTATGACTGTGGTGGTCACACTAAAATTGGAATATGTGCCACTGGGCTTACCTCATTTATTATTTTTTAATCTATAACAGTGAGTCATCAAAAAATAGTTTCCAAAGGACTCTGAACTTGCTTAGCTTGAAATGAAAGAGTTTGTTTCTGTTTTTCTGTTCCAACATGCACTGGACAGGGAACAGTGTTCTTTGTTGGTTAACGTTAGGCAATTCAGCCTCAACAGAAGGAAAACATGCTAACTAACTTTAAGAGTAATAACTGGTGTTTCTTTACTGCAATTGCTAACCTGGGCCAAACTAGCTGGTGAGGACCACACAGGGAGCTTCCCAATTGGACTAGGGGTCAAGAGATTTCATTCTACTAGCACTATCAATGAATTGCTGCTAAGCTTTGAGCATACTCATGTCAAGATAACTTGTTAAGAAATAGAAAGCATAGTCCTAACCCCTAATTACAATAAGGGATTTGTACATGGATTACTCAAATGATCATAATAGGAACACTGGAAGAAAAGGACTTTATATGTACAAGGTAACATCATTAGAATATTTTTGATTCAACCCTGCTTACTCACGTAAAATCACTGCAATATATACTATCTAGATAAGACAATTCTCCCCTAAAGAAACGTACCGAGTGATGCAGTCCTCTGCCTGTTTCTCATTCCCCATCTTGTGGTATACCACAGCTCCCACCGCTAAAGGGCCAGCATCGCCACAAAGGAAGGTGATGGTGCGCTTGGTCAGGGAACTTAAGCTCTTTTTTACGTATTCATGGGACATCTGTAGGTAGATTGTGTCTCCATATACATCAAAGAGATGTAAGTATAGTACAGCAATCCCTGGAAAGGAAATATTCGTAAAGGTAAGGATGGATGGGCCAACTGATGCTGTCTTTTGGTGTGCTGTCTAATAGAGGCAGATAGGTGACACTGGGCCTTGAGTCTAGAAGACTTGAGTTCAAATCCTTACTAGCTGTGTGACTTGGGCAAGTCACTTAACCTCAGATAATAACAGCACTTACCTCACAGGGTTGCTGGAAGGATCACTTGGGATAAAATTTGTACCATGCTTAGCACAGTACCTGGCACATGATGCAGGCACTATATAAATGTTTATTCCCCTCCTTCCTTCCCTTTCCTTACTCAAAACAGAATGCAGCAACTAATCGTACATCCTTGTGTCATCCCCATAGTGACTAGTACACACGACATTCAAAAAACATTGCCAAATAACTAAAGAATTGAGTTGAATGATAGTAATGAATAAGAACTCAATTAAAATAATGTTCTATGGTTCACAAATAATTTTCCTCACAACTAATCTGTAAGGTTGACAGGATAAGTAATATTATCCCCACTTGATAAGGAAATTGAGATTAAGGGAGCTGAAATGACTTGCCCAGGGTCTGAGTGTTAATAAGTCCCACAGAATTTAGAGCTCCTGGGTAACTGAGAGATCATCTAGCCCAAGTCTTTCATTATACAGATGAAGAAACCAAGGCCCAAAGCTGTTAAGTATCTTGCCCAAGGTCACAAAGTAAGTAAGTGGCAGAGCTGGGAAATGAACCTACCTTTTTTGACTCCAAGATTACTGCTCTTTCAATGACAACAGGCTGCTCCCTCTTTGAGAAAGGCAAAATTACTGATTTCTACAACACAGTGACTAGTGCACCAACACTTTTTCCTCCTCTCTGGACCTGAAATTTCATCAATATACAAATTCTGGGTGAGGAAATTCCCTCTACTAATGCACATCACCAATAGGCTTGGAGCACTGAGAGATGAGTTAATTTGCTTGAGGTCCAACAAACAGCCAGTATGTGTCAGAGGTGAGACTCAGGCCCAGGTCTTCCTGAATTCAGTGCCAGATCTCTCTACACTCTACCTTTTAAAACCTTGTCAGTAATTAAACAGACAGCCCAACTCCATGTATAAATAATCTGGAATCTGTGAGCACAAAAACAGAAACTAGCTTTATGCCTAAATAGGAAGAGTTTGGTTTATCTTTAGGAGAAAGCTGATTTTCTTTTCATAAAAATAAAAAGAAATATTCTGCTCCCCTACCCTGTCTTCTTGTTTGCCATAGGCAGGCCTTCAAAGAAACACATAAAAGTTATTCATTCTCTGGGAAAGTATATCCTGCTTTCCCCAGCTCATTTCTACAGGTGCTCAGCCACATCAGCACTGACATTATAAAAGCTGCATCAGTGGCTCTGTCTTGGAGCCTTTCTCTACTCTTTTATTATCCTACTTTTGAAGACTGTCATACAAAATTGAGGAATCATCAGTATTCCCTTATTCCAAATGCCTGTCACAGTAGGTAGAACCTCCCTTCAAAAGCCAACTGGTCTCACAGCAGAGTCAAAGAGTATGAAGTAGAGAACCTACTTGCCTGCAGCATTTCTAGAATGCTCATTTTTCTCCTTACGGTACACTTTCCATTTCATTAACCATTTCTAAGAAGACACAGGTTCTGTGTTTAAGTCTAAATTAATAGAGCCCATCTCTGTGCATATTTCAATGCAGGAAGAACGCAGCCTACAAAATTACTTTCCACTGTACTGAGGCCAATTTTAAATTTAGATCATTTTCTCATTTTGCATGGGTAATCTCCAAAGCTTCGTGCTACAGACAATTCAATTTCACGTGTATATTGAGGACAAATTTCCATTTCCTGCCAAAGTTAATAACCTTGTCCATTCCTTCAAGGCAGCTCAATGTTAGTAATTCCACAAGCTGATGATCAGATGTACCAGTGCTTGGGGTTTGTATGTACAAGCACATGAAACTGTATTTTGGGGTAGGAAAAAAAAAATTCCTTTTCACAAGTGATCAATGTCAAGTGCTTCTCCTTGAATGGGGTCCTTAATGGGCCTTATCTCTATCCACCCAACTCATAGAGAGAGTGATACGTTTTAAATTGTTACCTTTCACTATTCAGGCAGCTTCTATTCCCACTGCTGTCTCAACTGTCCTAATTAAGTAATGTAAGCACCATGGCCAGATAACTGACATGACTGAAGTCTAGGAAAATAAAAAGGGACTAAATACAAGCCTGATAATTGTTTCCTTCTACAGGCTTTTTCCATCTCATTTTCAGAAAATTCCACTGCCCCCAAAACATCAATTCTTTTTTTTTTTTAAAGAAACTCGAGCCTTCTGAAAGCCCTAAATGTGAAGTTTTCTATATTTTCTACAAAACACACTAGATTATCATTTCTCAGATCTTGCCATGTTTTAAGTGAAACAGCACAGCAACGCCCTTGTTAAAGAATTTATAGTTTAGGTGCAGACAAAATGTCTCAAGACAGAAGACAATTGGAGAGAGGGGAACCAGAGGAGGCTTTTTCCAATTCGAGGATTCTATCCTTCTAAGATCCAAGTTTCTATCTTTAGCTATACTTTTTGTGCGCTTCAGTTTCTACGTTCCTAAAACAATGGCTCTTCTATTTCCTTCATTTTACTCATGAGATTAAAAAGCATTAAAACTTTAAAGTATTAAAAATGCTTTAAACAAAAAAAGAAGGAAAAAAGTTAAGTTATATTGATTCAAAGCCTTCATAAATAATATGGACAGAACAGAAAATTACAAGGCCAGCAAAAAGCACAGTAAGCTGAAGTTATTTAATGTGACACTCTATTCCTCTCTACCAAATTTTAACAGAAGAAGAAGATAAAAAGAGGTTTTTAAATCCTCAGTCCTTCCACGTCTAAAAATCTTGGGTGAAATAGCTTAAACTTGCTATGTATGCTACTCTAAGCACAAGGAGGCTCTGTATACAAACAACATCACATCATCTCTCTATAACTAAGTTTCTAGACAGAAAAAGAGGGTTGAAAAGCAGGCATCTCCTTCAAGCTATACTGGGAAAACTTAAAGACTTCGTATTTCTATCTATCCAACTTATATAAACATTACTTCTGGCCCCAGATAATGCTTTATAAAACCCTTACTTTCATGAGCAATAAACTTAATCCAAAATTAAGTAAAGAAAACCTATGTGTGGATTACCTATCTTTGCCCCAAATTAAGAGTTAAACATTTATTTCACCTCAGTCTAGAAGCATGTTTCATTCAAGTTCATTGGTCAATGGACAAGCAAAATGAAAATATTAAGATTCCTCAAGGAGATTAAACTGTCATTTTTTTTTTTTTTGGTGGCAAACGGAAGGGAGAGAGGGAAGTAGGGGTATAGTATTTAGGAGACTAACTAAGCAGAATGCTAACTATCCGAGAAAGAAATGAAATGCAGCAAGCATCTTATAGCTTACCCTTGACGCCAAGACCAAAAAAAAAAAAAAAAAGGTAAGGTTTCTTTAAATGTTTTGATTCCAACTTGAAATTTCCATGTTGAGATGAATTTTGAAGCTTAGTTATTTAACGGCATTTATGGAAAATCAATAACCAAAGAGTCAAATAGCAACTTGTCAAATGTCTTGTTCAGTAAATACAAGGGACCATAATTTCCCTATGCCCTCTGCATGTGAAACTTTCATAATATGAAAGGTTTGTAAGGGACCTTCCAAGGTAATTTAGTCCAGACCTTTAGAGATAAGGAAAAAGAAACACAGAGTAAAGTGGCTTGTCCATGACCACCCAAGTTATAGACAGTAAACTCCCTTTATCCAGAATGGTTGGGAAATGGAATAATTTAATAATTTAACATTTGAGTTAACCAAATGTTAGCACATATATCACATGCAGATTTTCAGTTATTTTCAAGAATTAGAGACAGCATGGCACAGTGGAAAGCCTGCTGGATTTGGAGTCAAAGGCTACTTACTACTGACGTTAATCCATCCCTTACTCCAATCCAATGACTTCTGAGGTCTTTTCCAATTCTAAATCTATAGTCTTAAAGAATAAAGTATAGATAAAATCCAAAGTGTCCTGAATACAATTTTTTTTTTTTTTGCTTTTTGGTAAGACAACTGGGGTTAAGTGACTTGCCCAGGGTCACACAGTTAGTAAATGTCAAGTGTCTGAGGCCGGATTTGAATTCAGGTCCCCCTGACTCCACGGTCAGAGCTCTATCCACTGCGCCACCTAGCTGCCCCTCTTGAACACAGTTTTATCATTCTTTCTTTGATTCAGAAAGTCCGTTAGGACCTTGCAGTACTCTAGGTCACCATTACAAACATTAATTTCACTGCAGAACACTATGGGACGAACAGTAGTTATTTGAGTTTTTTTGTCATTTGGATTTTGATAAATAGAGTTTAGTGAATGACGTGGCATCATCAAAGAGCTGGTAGATGTCTAAGCATAGCTAAGAGGGAGTAATGATTGAAAGTCTAACATAAATAAAAGTTGTGATGTTAAGAATATGAATACTGTTGTTCACATTCTTTATTTTATTATTATTATTGTTATTATTTTATTTTATTCAAGTCTTCTTGTTCAAAATGACTACTATGGAAATGTTTTACCTAACTGCACGTGTATAACCTATATCTGATTGCTTATTGTCTCAGACTGGGGAGAGGGAGGGACAGAATTTGGAACTCAAAACTTTAAAAAAAAATGGTTAAAAAAAAAAAAAAAAAAAAGAACATGAATGCTACTGAAATTCCAGACTAGTTTCTGCTCCAAGCAAATGAATTTAACCACATAAACACTTCTAGTGACATTTACAATTAAGGATGCTCTGTGATTTGATGCTACTATTTTTGATATTCAGCTGCAGAAGCTGGAGTCAACGTTGCTTTTCTAAAGATGCATCTTGTATGAATGACATGATCATGTTTCACAGAGGTTGTCTTCTCTTCTGTGATTTTTCTCTTTACACTAATACATAAGTATCTCAAAAGGAAGTTTCATCAAGTACAAATGCTATTCT